CTTAATGGGGGTCATAAGACAAGGTGTTTGGTCCTGGTTACTTCATGTGTCAGTCAATCTCTCTTCACTCAAGGGAAGATTTCTCTACATGGACATTTATCTTCTCCTCTTGGCATTTCCTATTACATGCTAAGTTTATCTATGCCCACTGCTTGGAGACATTCATTTAGGACAATGGCTATCTGTTCATGATTGCCTATGACATCACACAGGAAAATGACTTAATGACACAATCAGCCTGTTGGAGTGGGGCTCAGTTTTATTTAATTGAATTCCTATGTCCCATCGCCTATGACAAGCCTTAGTGAATGCATAGACAGTTTTCCAATTGGGAAAACCTTTAAAGAGGACTCTATACTTATCTATAATACATAAGAAGAAGGTGGGAAAACATGTTGATATTGGCAATAAGCACCACAAAGTGACTAGGTGGTGCTTAAGATTTCCCAAGCCATGTCTTACTTAATATTGAGAAAAAGGAATGAGTGGGGAACATTCCTGATGACACACTAAAATCTAATGCTACTTGTCATGTTTGCATGAGACGATCAATCAAAACACAATTCTGATTTGTCCAAGGATTTCTGTGCTGGCTTATGAGTGTGTGTGTGTGTGTGTGTGTGTGTGTGTGTGTGTGTGTGTGTTATGTATGTAGGAAGATATTCATATGCACATGCATGTTTACATGCATGTATATGGATGTCAGAGATCAACATTAGGTGCCTTCTTCAATGGATTTTCACCTTATTTTTTTGAGACCAGGTCAGTCACTGAGCTCACTGATTCAGCTAAGCTGCTTCATCTGTGAGCTCAGGGGATCTGCTTGCCTCACTTTCTCACATGGGAATTACAAATTTATGCCTCTGTTCATGGCTTTTACAGGACTACTGGAGACCTGAACTCAGGTATTCATGCTTGTGAAGCAAGGACTTTAACAAGTGAGCCATCTCCCTAGATGATGATTCTCTTTGTTTTTAATGAAGCCAACAGCAAAGAAAGTAAAGTACTACTCCATGTGAATGAAATTTATATAGCTACATCTGTAGAAAATAAATAATAGTTGATATTAGTGTAGCTTGCTAGATGTCAGATACTATGCTAAATGAAAAATGACTAAAGAGAATTTATTGTCTCATCTAACCCATATAATAATGCACCACTCTACTATTATTTCTTTTTCTATACACAAAGCAATTTTAGCTTTTTTGGTTAGAAAAGGAGTATTTGCTTATAGTGAACAGTGATTAAACGATGTCAGAGGTACCTGGCTAATAATTTCATCTGTTTAATGGACATATTTAAGTCCAACTCAAATGTTACTGCATTTCTACCTTTACTATGTAATTGCCTTAATTTTTTACCTCCAAGTTCTTGAAGAGGAGCATTCATTTAGCATAAATTATTCCTACAATCAGAGACATCAAAATTTTAAAAAGTCAAACAAATAGGAAAAAAGTCAAACTTGAAAGAAGTCTTGAACTAAAATTTAAATGATATATGGATATTTTTACTCAGACCTGGATATGAATTCTCCAAATATCTGTGGATTTTGGCTGCCCCACCTATAAAATTACCCTCCACAGATTATAAGAAGGAACAAATAAAAAATAACCATTTTAAATTTAAAATGTGTGATGGTGCCTCATAATTAGACAGCTATTGCTGTTATCATGAACAAACTGGCACATAGTAAAGTTACATAAGCGAGGAAGTGGAGTACAGTATAAGAATTAAATCAGGCAGCTCTCATTTGACCAGGAAATTCTCTCCTTCCGATTCGGGTCTGAGCTGCCTTTGCAGAATGGGAATGGTCCCTAGCTAGAACAGAGAAAAAGCATATTCATTCTCATTTCTCTCTGACTACCTCTTTCATTCTCACCCTTTCAACCTTCTTTCCTGCTTCTTCCCTCCCTGGTCTCTCTACGATACCTTCTACCTTACATCTTTAGCCAAATGAGATCTGCATTTAATTCCCAGACCATGGCATTCCTTTTTAAGCTTTGTGGTGCTTTCACTAACTTGCCAAAATTGGTATAATCCCTCCAGTGGAAGATATGCATGCTCCTTACACAGCAGCAAGCTAACCCTGGCCAAATGTGCTCTTAGTCCCTTTGCCAACCAGATTATTTCTGAAGAACTTCCAAATAGACCAAATCCAGATATCTTTACTTTACATCACACAGCCCAATAATGCAGAGAGGAAATTTCTTGGTGTGTGTGTGTGTATGTGTGTGTGAGAGAGAGAGAGGAGGGGGGAGAGAGATGGAACCTTGGGTCAACAAAATGCTGATTTACAAATCCCAGAGTGTTCCTGAGAGTAAAGGCTACTACCAAATGAAATCCCCTACACATACCTTCCATAGGAAAAGTTACTACCAGTATTTTCTTCCTGCAAAATGTTTGTACTGCAGATTTCTACTGGCCTTTCCCAGCCTTATGCTCCTCAATAGTGAAGCCAAGCCTAACAATGCATCATCCTTCACTGTCTGGTAATGCAATATGGATTAGCACCCAGAGAAGCACTGGCCTAAGATGGTGAAGAAGTGTCCTCACTCCATTTATATTAAAATGAATGATAGTGAATTCTATAATCAGAGGATTTTGTTCCTTTTGGTAAAACTCATTCATGAGTAAATTAAAACTGCAAATCATGGCAACAGAAATGAAAGACCCACTAAGCCCTCTCTGAGGCATAATTATTCAACCTTAGTACATCACATTCCAACACATCCTCAGGCTGTCAGATGGGAAGAGAAAAAAAAGTTGAAGTCCCCAAACTGTGGCAATTGTGAGTCATGATTATATCACTAATCATAATTTAGACATAAATGAACTTCACTGAATATGCAGTTGTGCTAATAGGAGGAAAACCCCTTGGCTGTAGAGACAGAATGGGCTTTTAAATTCCAATGTGTGATTTGTAAATACAAAGCTCAGAATGCTGCATCTTTGCCTACATATCTTCATGAAGAACAAATAAATGCAGACCCTAACTGAGCACTTGGACTGGTAACCTAGTTTTCAGTGTAGCTAATAGCTACCCATTTTGTTTACACTTTTATCCCCCCTCATTACATTGCAATGATGATTATTTAGTAAATACATGTGAAAGGCCACACACTCCATAACACTTCTTCTCAGGGTGGAAATAACCTCCTCCTCATGTTTCTAACTGAATAATTTAGCTGCTGACACACCAAATCAAATGCAGCCATGGTATCCCACTAGTAACTCTTTCTGAGGCTAAAAACAGACTCATGCTCAGCTTATTCCCCAATGTCATTGCTAGGCAAGATTAAGGGTCCAGCCTGGGGACTAAATAGATACTTAAGGAAGCCCAGTCCCTCACTGAATGTTATACTTTATCCATCTCACAGGAACTTAGATGGCTCTTCTGAAAATGATTTATGATGCTAGAGAGAGGTAGTAGAAGTGTGTTTTCTAGATAGTGAAATAATACGCAACAAGAGAAAGATGTACAATGTGCTCATATAAGATGCCATCCAGTCTACCAAAAAACACAAGTCACCTCAGTATTTATACTGGAAGATACACAATAGAATAAGGGAATTCCCATTGTGTGTATGGGAGGGAGTGACCCCAGACTTCCCTTGTGTGCTATGTAGATATAACTCACTAAAGTATTACAGAGACATGCTTCTTGAAAGGGTGTCCAAGTTCCAAATATCGGTTCACATAACAGATTCCCATTCTTTCTTTAGAGAAGATTGAAATTAAACAGCAACATTTAGAACTGGGTCCAAAGTAAAGAAAACACAGAAGGATTTTTAAATAGTCTGATTCAGGGGGTGGAGACACCCGAGGGCTAAAGGAGGAGACAGGAAACCTGTCTTACTCCAATGCTGCTCAAGTGTGTCTGCTCACAGAGGCAGGGGCTCCTGCTCATCTCCCTATGGAGACTTCATGGGAAGTTGGCCCAGTCCCTAATTCTGCAGAGGGAATGCAGGCAGAAGGGAGAACAGCAAATGGGCTACACCCTGAGTGCTTAAATGGCAGGTGCAAGGGAAATGGGGTGGGTGCTGGTCAATGGGAGGGGCAAAAGGACTGGGAAAATCAACACAGTTCCCTCCAACCCTAAGAAAGACATATCTTGGAAATGACAGCTCCTTCCAACACACAATACACAGGAAGCAGGCAGGCACAAGCTGTACCACAGACATCTCAACACCCTGAATTCTCATTGAAACACACAGACACAGCTGGCACAAGTAGCCTCCGATCAGCAATTGAGCCAGCACATCCTTGCTACTGGGAATTAAGATGTTAATCTAGAGCAGTATTTTTAATAGCAGATTTTTTTTTTCAGGTGTGTTTGGGGTAGGAGGGCCGTGCCACTGGATTTCAAACACTGCAACACATTCTTCAACATCTGGGGAAGTCAGAGAGGTCTGCCACATGACTCCAGTTTCTCCTGGTATTCCCTACTCTGGCATGTTCCTGCAGTCTCCTTAAAGTGCCTAGATACCACAGCAAGGCCCTGCATCCATTTTGCCAGCCAGGAACCACTGAGTTTTGGGAACTCTGGAAGCCAGGGGTTGGGGTGGGGGTGGGGGTAATGCCAAGGCTTATATTTCGGCGCCAGAGTTCTCAGCCAGGAAAGCAGTTGAAAATCAACACCTATCTGCCTCTTCTTTTTCAGTCTCCATCCTTCTCCCTCCCAGGACACCACAAAGATTTTACCCACAGCTGCAAGCACACACACAGAGATTCTCTCTCTCTCTCTCTCTCTCTCTCTCTCTCTCTCTCTCTCTCTCTCTCTCACACACACACACACACACACACGGACACACAACCCCTCCCTGCACACACCCTTAGGCTTAGATCCCCCCCCCAAGGCAGAAAAGACACAGAATGAAAAAGGGCCTTGCCACCTCCTCACTTCCCGCCCTAAGACTACACAGGATAAGGATAAAACCTCATATAATTCAAATATCATCACAGAACACAACACCCGCCCATGACACCAGCACGTCCCGTACCTGATATGCAGACGATGAAATTGGCTTGAAGAAGAAAAAGCACCTCCCAGACTATTTCCATCCTCTGCTTCTCATTCCAGGTGCATCACTCGACGGGAAAACAGGGGGGAAGGGGGGAGCCCGACACAGCACACTCATACACACAGGCACACACTCTCCAGAGAGCGCACACTCGCGCTCCCACCCGACAGCCGGCCAGGGGCAGTCACCCCCAAGATCAATAACGCAGTTTGAATTGTTTCGGCAAATCTCCCCTCGGGCTCTTCGGATGTGCTCCCCAGATATGCTGACACATGTCCGATGTCTCTTTGCCTCGGAGGTCTCCCCGCTCTTGAGTCTCTGCTTCTCTCACCAAAGGCAGAAACAGCACTTGCAGTGACCGTGGCGGTGTCACCCACCTGAAGACACCAACACTGGCCTCTTCCTGCAAAACCGAGACCCCGATCCGTCGGACGCTCCAAGAAGACATAGACAGCAGCCCACCACTGGGCCAAGCAGTGCAATCCCGGGGCTTCCGCCTCTTCCCGTGTGCTGGCTGAGCCCAGGTAGTCCGCGACAAGTTGCCCTCGAAGTCCTCCCCCTTCACCGGGGCATGGTCAGAGGATGGCGGCTGGCTCCGACCTGGCCGGTTCTCCTGCTTCCGGAGGGTGGGGGGAAGAGGACCAGACAGGGCACACAGGAAAAGAAAGAGAAGCGGGATTATTGCCGGAAAACATCGGCCACCAGCAGCCTCCGTTGACCCTCCCTACTCCCTAAATCCGCAAGCCTCCGGCCGCCTCCAAGCCGGGTTCAGGCGTGAGACGCGGAGCCCAAGGGTGGGCTCCCGGGACTGGGACGAGTCGGGGAGGCTCACTGGCTCCCCACGTTGCACGCGCGCTTTCTGCTTTTCTGCTATTTTCCGGGGCTCCCCAGACCCCGCAGTTGCCTCGCTTCCATCGCCCGCAACTAGCGCCACCGCCGAGATTTTCCGCAATGCAACTGCAGGGGTCGTTATTTCCTCGCCTACGGATCCCGTAGCTTTCCCACTCGCAAAGGAGGAGGGCAGGTGGGGGCGGGAGCAGGAGGAGGAGGGGGAGAAGGCTTGGCCAGGTGAGCGTCCGTGCACCCGGAGTCCCCACGTCAGCCGGGCCACTGGGCTCCCGGGGGCGGAGGCAAAAGTCCGTGCCGGGTGGGGCGGTGAGGCCATAAGGAGCAGGAGCCGGAGTCAGCACTTCAGGCCACGGTGGCCGCTGCCTTGGCCGGGACCCTAGGCGCCAGCCTTGGAGTTCCGCCCCGCCCGGCTGCCCCGGTTCCCTTCCAGGAGCTTGGAGTTTCTTTTCTCTTTAAAAGAACTTCGTCGCTGCTCGTTCCGCACAGAAAAGCCGTGCGGGACTCATCCTGAGAGGATTGTGCTGTACTCTCTCCCTCTGCAGCGGAATTTGAACGATTTTTTTTTTCTTTCATAATCCATTCCCTGCCCTCTCCTTTTCGCCCCGCTCCTGCCCCCTCCCCCCTTCTTCCCCTCTTCCTGTTCTCATGCCAGAAAAAGGCTACTCACCCCACAATTCTCTTTGCAGGTTCCCAGACCAGGTGCAACTCTTGCCCGCAAGTCCCCCACCTCCCTCCTCTTGTAACCGTCGCTCTAAGTCCGGGTTCCAGTGGCGGCCAAGCGCGTCCCTACCAGATTAGCTACAGGAGGATCCGATACCATCGGAAAACCAAGACTCCCGGGAAACGGACTTCCCTTCTTGTTTCTCATTCGCCGTTTTTCTTTAGAGAAGGTCTCTAACGCTTTGATGGCTTTTGCAGGGCCCCGGGATACTCTAGGTCAGAGACACTCAGCAGCTTTCAGGGGAAGAGATTTCCCCAGCAAGCCCGCGCGCGCACACACTCTTGCCCAGCGCGCGGCTCTCCCGAGTCCCAAGGGAAGGAGGGGGCGGCGAGAGCACCACCCACCACCCAGGCGGAACCAGAGCCAGCCGGTCCGCAGAAGGTCTAGCCCCGGAAAGGCTGCCTGGGAATGCAATGCGGATGCAGGGTAAAAGCAAGGAAAAGATGCGCTTCGGACTGTTTCCCTAAAAGGATTGGAAGCTAACAGGGGAGGAAAAACTGCAGCAGATTTGTGTGTGGCTATCACTACAGGAGTGGTTGGCGAAAGCCCCAGACCTACCTCTTTTAGGGGTGCTGAAGAGGAGATGGGCAGGGTAGAGGGAATCCCTGGAAAGATCTGGGATTTCTAGAGGCGCTTGTCCAGATACCGAAGTGTGACGTTGGGAGATTTTGCATAAACGCGGATGGACACACACAACAAACACACGCACAGCCTGCAGGGAATATTTTTGTACTTTTAAATTTCCGATGTTTAGAACCCATTTCACTGTAAGACTGGGCCCAATAAGCGTAGATAGGGTGGATAAGTGAAGAGGAAAGAGGTGTGTGTGTGGGGGGGGGGAGGGGGGTAAATCGTGTTGTTGATCTGCACAGTAGATCCAGTGAACAGTGACTGAGGCATCCAGATTGCGTGACATCTAAGGGTGCCGCATAAGAACCAAAGTAGTTACACCAGAGGGCTCCCGGTTTCTTGAACCGAGTCTAGGGAACCTAAAGATTCTTTGTACTGAAGTGGGGCGGCGGAGTGAGAGGTGCTGAGAGAGGAAGGAAAGCTGCTGGCTGACTGCAGGAGCCAGGGTGTGCGGTTCTGCTGCCTCCGGGGATTCTAAAAAAGAACCACTGGCAGACTTGCCTACTCTTTAAGAAGGAGGTGTGGCCGGAGGGTGGGTTTTTTTTTTCTTTCTTTCTTTCTTTTTTTTTTTTTTTCTTTCCTTCTGAGAAGACAGCCAAGGACTCCAGGTGGGCAACACATTAAAAATCGAGGCTCACATAAAATAAATTCATGGTTTTTTAGGTAGAGAACTTTGAAGCTCAGCAGGAAAGACATTGAGACTTGAGAACATTAAAAGATTCAGTGATGGTGAGAATTAGCCCATTTGGGAAACATATGGGGGAGTGTTTGTCTCCGTGCCTTGAAAGTAGACAGCAAGAAAGGGATTTGTGAGCAGAGAAGAAAGCAGTCTGCCAAACAGAAACAGATGTCCTACAGAGACACAGAGAGTTCAGCACCGCGGACAGCGACCCACCTATGTACTTCCCAAGCTGATTCACTGACAAAGCTGGAGTACAAACAAGGTGACTGGGTTTTCATACCACAGTCCATTCGTTTGTTAACGGATTATGCAAATATCAAGTGACTGATTTACACATGCCAAGCACTATAGTACAGTGTTGTGGTTTTTAAATTGAAAAGCATAATGGGCGTTTTTCAAAAAAGTTTAGAGGCTGTGCCTCTATCTACATTTTTGCCATTAGGTCAATTATAGTAAACATGAATTATTCCCTTTTTCCTTGCACAAACCTGCCTTTACCACTGTAAAGGTTTAGTTCATCCTTAGTAACAATGTATCTCCAAAGAATTAACTCATGTATTGATTAATTTCTATAGACCATGAACATATTGATGAGTCCCTAGCATGAATTATCTCAATTAGTAACCATCAACATCTTGTCTTAGTCCATTTATGCTGCTTTTACAAAATAACACAGCCCACAAACTTTACAAATAATTTCTTACAATCTTGGAGGCTGGGAGAAGGCCAAAGTTAGGGCATTCCATATTTGGAGGGAGGTCTCTTTCTATGTTCTTGCATAACAGGAGATGGAATGGCAAAACATATTAAACTACTTTCCTTTGATCCTTTTGTAAAGGTAAACTCATCCATTCATGAAGGCAGAATCCTTATGATTTAATTACTCCTCTAAAGGCCTACCTTTCTTATAAGCACATTGATGAATAGTTTTGGAGGGCAGATCCTGTATCAGATCCCTGGGAAATAAATATCTTATGAAACAATCTCTGGGTAACTATGCATCCTAGGTATTACAGCTACTAAAAAGTAGTGTAGGGAATATAGCAGGACAACTTGGCAACATGCTTTATGAAATGAAAAGTATCACTGTGGAGAAGGCAATGAGTATGTAAGAAGGGTGTAAGTGTTCATATGACACATATACAGTCAATCAATCAAAGACTGCATGAAAATGTACCAGTTGATTATGTAATTCCAAGTTATTTACATTAAAATCGAGAGAAAGAAATTATTACTGACAATTAGGGACAATCCAAAGTATTTCTAATAAGAAATCCAGCAACCAGCTAGGTCTCTTATACTGGCAATCTGGCAATAAATACAAGAGACCCCTAGTGTTTTGGTTCCTTTCTAGCATTTTCCTGAAAGAAATACCAATTTCTTAAGTGTTTTCAAAGGTTAATGTATGTTTTTAACTGTGTAATTCTCTCATTAAATGCAAATAAAAAGCCAGTGAGAAAATATTAAGAAAGATCTGCAAATCAGAGTACAGTACTCATTATTACCTTTTATTTATAAATCCATGATAAAATGGGATGAGACTAAATCTACTTATCTTTAGCACTTTAGAGAATGTATTCACCTATATTTTTTAAATTTTTAATTGTATATGTGCATGTGTGTACAAGCTGGCACCAATCCATCCACCTGTAGTCCAAACCATGCAAATTTGTTCATGTGAGCGCAGTGCTCTTGGGGGCCAGAAGAGGGCATCAGGTTCCCTCGAGGTGGAGCTATAGGTGATTGTGAGTCTTAGGATATGCCTGCTGGACATTGAATTTATCCTGAATTAGTAGTATTAGGATTATAACTACTGAGTCATCTTTCTATCCCCTCATATTTATATGTTGATGTCTTTTAAAATCTCCCTCTAATGTTACCTTCATCTTATCTCATTACTATTTCTTTACATTTCTCCATTACACATTCAATGCAAGTGATTTTATAAATTGAGCAGAGTTTTGGTGAAGCCTAAGTATGAGAGACAACATTAGTTGCCTTATAGAGTAAATACAGTTCCTGCTCCTAGGAGAGAATAATGCTGAATTTCGTTGGGTTCTTTATCTTCTTTTTATTGAACTCAACTAAATGATGACTCATCTGATTGGTTAAAATTAACTTAACAGTTATTAGGACATTTGTCTCAAAGGCAGTGCACATGAAATGAAATGAAAAGGTGAAGATAATTAAGCTTCTTTCCTTTTTTTTTTTGTTTTTTTTTTTGTTTGTTTGTTTTTGTTTTCTTGACTAGCCTGCATTCAAGCACAAAGAGAGCTCACCATGTATTTTAGGCTCCACCCTTCCTTCTCTTTGAGATAATATCAGGCTATTTTGCTCATATTGGCCTGGAACTCACTCTACATGTCTGTTTTATTCTCTATGTCCTATCTACTACTTTGAGAAAAATAGTGTCACTGTGCAGAGCTCTGGAAGTCATCCTAAGAAAGAAAGGAGCTATTGACTGGGGGAGGGGAAATCAAT